GAGCGAGGCCGCCGGGCCGCGGGCCTGCGGCTGCCCGCCCGGCCGGAGAGCCGACGGCCGCCCGTGCACTCCGCCCGCGGCCGGCTCCCGCACACCTGACTTTCTGGAAGGAAGGCGGTCGCGTTCCCCCGGGGGCGTGCCCGCAGAGAGGAGGGAACGAAAGCCAATGGCAACCGTCTCTTTACAATAGTCACCACTCTCCATCCAGCACTTCTTTAAGTCCTGGAACCAGAATGTCGTCGTTGTGCGAAGCCTTATAGCTAACTGTGCTCTGTAAATGAAGTATCCTAATACTTAGCTAATAATAAAATACCGCAGTTGTGGGAATATACAGGGATAACGGCTATTTGTAAGTGGTCTTTGACGTGGTATCTTATTGTACTTCTCTTTCCCTTTGTCATATGAGATGCTACGGTGTCTTCCTGCTGAGAGAAATGCTAAAGACAATGTGACAGTTTCCAAAACTCACTTGCACACAAGCATTGTGATACAGCCAGTTGTTCTGATAACATGGCTGAAACTGTTAACATTTCCTTTTGTGATTCCTTTTAACTTAAAAACTTGTGCACACGTGAATATCAAAATCTGATCCCTTAAGGAGCTCTCCGTGGTGACCCAGCGCTTGCTGTCTTCATGAACTTCTCCAGGTTCCCGGCCCCGCCCCCTCGGATTCTAGCTGCATTACTTTCCCAAACTCTGAACCGTTTTATTTTTTTTTCCCTCACTCTATTTGGGCTCTCCCAGCCTTTACCGGGCTTGTGATCCGAGGGCTCACCGCCTTTGTTTCCTTCTCTCAGGATCACTTTACTATGCTGTCTCTTGTCCAGCGTCTGAGAAATGGTTGCTTATTTTTGGTGCAGTTTCATAGTTACTAAAGACAGGTAAGTAAATCCTACACCCGCATGTCTGACTGATGATTGATGGAAAGCTACATTATGTTTGTAAGTATAAGAAAACGCATGACCTTAGATTTCAGGTTTCGTGGCATGAATGTCTTCCTTTTGTCTCCTGGACCTTTCTTTTTCTTTTTGCTCTAGGTATAAAGGTGCTGTTTGTTTATTACCGACGTTGAGAGGACTGAAAAGTGGTTTATGGGGCAGGGGCAGGGGTCGGTCGTCTGTGTGTTTCCTCCTTCACAGGTGTTGCTTTGAGGTATGGGTGGAAGTATAATCTCCAGAAATCAAGTTCTGTGATAACATTTTGCTTTGATAGATAAGGTTAAAGAAATTTAATGGATTACAATTTTGAAGACTTTATGTGTATGGCTGTTCTGCCTTCATGGATGGGCGTGCACCTGTGTGCAATACCCACGGAGGCCAGAAATAGGTACTAAGTCCTTGGAACTGCATAGAGAGCTGTCATGTGGGTGTTGGGAATTGAACCCAGGTCCTATAGGTGAGCAGCCAGTGCTCTTAACCACTGAACTCTAACCCTGAGCCCTAATTTAAAAAAAAAAAAAAATTAAAGGTTTCAAAAGTGTGGCGTGTTTGAGGGCTAGGAGTTGGGCGGCTGAGGTGGAGTAAGTGAGCAGCAATGGGGAATCAGTTGGGAGGTTGGTGGCAGAGAAAGGTGATGGCGTTAGACCAAGTCAGATGATTGTAAGGACTTGGCTTCCTACTCAGAATAAGTTGGAATGCCGCTTAAAGCTTGTTCAGTTTGGAACTTTGAGATAGGCTTTTTCTGTGTAGTCCAGGCTGGCCTCAAGTTTTTGATTCTCCTGTCACAATCTTCTGAGTACAAGGCCAGAGGAGAGACTTTGCTTTGACACCTATAATTGTTGAAACTTTATATTTTGCTACAATTAAACTTAGAGAAAAACTTGAGAATAACACAAATTCACTGGAGTATAAACTTACTTTTCAGTCTGAATTATTCATCTTAAGGACAAGATCTGAGATGTGAGTTTGGTGTTTGTGATACCTGAAGTTTAAGCCCCTAGTGGATTTACACCATTTGTTCCTTCAGTTTGCTTCCTTAGTCTGGAACCGCTGGGGCAAGAGTGAGCAAGACACTCCGTTTCAACATACTGTGTTCAGGGGGTGATCTGTGGAAGTGGGGAAGTCTGTCATGTTAATGCTATCTGCTCAGACTCAGCATCACCAGTGGCTAACTAGAGACAAAGTGGAAAACCCTAATATCCCGATTCCTGGGAAGGAAGTCCTCCAGTTGGGAGCCACAGAGAGGAACCCTGAGTTCTTGGATGCTGTAGGGAGTCCTTACCTCTGTCAGCTAGAAGAAAAGGGGGGGAACAGTCCTTGGTTCAGATGACTCACCTTTCTCACTGAATTTTCAGTCGTCTTGAGTAGATGGTTCTTTCTCTGCCTTCAGAGACATTTCTAGGTGTTGCTCCTCCACCCTGTTTCCTCGGTTTTTCTAAATTGTGGGTCAGTGAAGTTCATTCCTCACACTGTCAGTCCAGAAGCCAGTCTCTAACTTCTTTATTTTGCCCCTCCTTGACTTTTTTTTTTTTTTTTTTTTTTTTTTACAGAATCATTCTGCCTCCTAGATTAACATGACAGTTGATGGGGCTAGGGGAGTAAAAGAAGGAGGAGGACCACATAAGAACAATCGTTTATTCCACGGTGGTGGCAGTAGATTTTAAAGCTAGAGTGAAGGATTTACTATCAGATTATATATGAAGAATGAAAAAAAATGGAGTTGTTTTTAGGGTTAGAGCAGGCCCTGGCAGACCAATGGGCTAAGCTGCCACCAGTCTCTAGTATGCCAATCAAATAGACATGTAATAGTGAAAAGCTAAGGAAGGAGATTATTCAATAAGACCTCATAGGAAAGAGGAGCAAAGAGGCCTGATGACTCCCAAGTCCATGTTTGGAGTCCTGATATTAAGTTTAGGTTTAATTAGACATTAAGATACTTATAACCAAGTCAAGGTCTGGTTCCATCCATCATTATCTGGGCTCCAAGGGTGTTCTGACAGCAGAAGGATTCTGACATCTCTCTGGCATTGGGGCTTCAGATGCTTTTCTTCTTTCCTAGCATGAGACTGTCAGAAAAAAAAATGTAAGATTTTAGAGGGTGGAGAGGAAGGGGGGTCCGTTGTTTCAATAGTTTGGCAGCAAAGGTGTCTATGGTTACAGAGTGAGAGAAGATTCTGTGGTTTGAGGCCTGAGAAGATAGAAAGATAGAGTTGTTGTTTGCTGAGTTGAAGCAATGTTACTGGGCACTTAGGTCCATAACTTCTGCCTCAGTTTTTCTACCTTCCAAAAGAAATTAGAAAATAGAAATTGCTAAAAGAAGTTGTTACATTTACAGTTTAGCCAAGATAGGTATTATAAAGGAGGAGAACCCAATTTTCCTCATTGTCTCTTTGCCAGTGTTAAGATTTATAACTGTTGAGACCAAGATTACAAGATATGTAGATTCAGCTATGAGATGGTTTTATATATCCTTCCTTGTTGAATGGATGGTACCTCAGGCTCCTCCCATTGTCTGGCTTCCCACTTTGAACACACTTTCTCCGTTTTCACAGTATGAAGGGCACAGGTGTCTCTAGGATATAGAACACTTGTGCCCTGCAACTGCCATTCTCTCTCAGTGTGGCATCATGGCGTCATGATCATAGCAGCACATTTGCGGAGAGCTCAAACACATTAAGTCCAAAACAGAGAGAGATGGCAGTTTTATGGTAGTTGAAGGGGAAGTTCCGTAGTCTGTGAGCCCTTTGCATTAGCGTCCATGTTGGAGTGGGTAGGCAGGCATCTCACTGTCTCATTAACTAGGGCGTTCTACAATGTAAATCTTTTTCCTCGGGACTGGCCGTTTGTTCAGGGGCAATGCTAGTCGTGAGCTGGCTCCACGAGTCTGTGGAAGAGTTGCCAAGTCCAAGGACTTGGGGACTAATTGCTGCAGTGTGGGTTTTTGTTTTTACTTTTGTCCTTTTGTCCTTATAGATCTATTTTCTTTTTCCAGCTGAGTTACGGAATGTGACAAATTCTCATTCTAACCAGCCAAGGTAAGAAAAAGTGTTGCTGATGCAGATGGAAAAGTTAAGGGTTTAGTAGTGTAAGATAACTGTTTACTATGCTCAGAGATGCTTACTTCAAAATTTTGGCTTGTCTTCAGCTAGCTGGAAATACAGGAAAATTGTACAGTTCCACATACCTTCCCATTCCCAGAAAAATATGGAGTGAATGGCATAATCCTTGTAGAGACTTCTTAGTGCTAGTAAGAGGGCAATGACAGACAGCAATGCATGGAGCTCCTTGAGATAACTTCCTCTGATTTTATTTGCAGTAAAGGTTTGTGACAATATCGACCGGGAAATAAATTTGTAAAGGTTTTTGATTTATATAAAAATGTAAACGGGGCAAATTTCAGTAGAGTAGGCCCAGGACTTGGACTTATTATAGAAATGGTACAGCTAATTTGAGATTCAGGTCTTTCTACAGTTGCTTTCCCCAGAAAACTT